ATAGTAGAGATGCGTTTTACAAATACATCGGCACGCGAATATATAATTTGAGCTCGGTTCCGGATCAGGATGCGCAAATTTTTGATCAACTCGGAAATGTTGGATGAAACGAACACAGATTAGAATATTTCGCAACGATGTTTATAATCCCAGACCAATCAAAATAGATCGAAAAGATAACGGGAATAGCTTATATTTATCATAAATTATGCAGATAGATTCTAATATACATGTAGTGATAAAATTACTCTAAAACAAAATAACATCTCAAAGCCCTTGAAATTTCTTGTGCGACATTACCGTCTGCATTTGAGCGCACTATATAAGTACAGAAACGCGGTTTCACTCGAAAATGTAGTAACACCAAATAACTAAGTGTAGATTCTTTAGGGTGAGGAAGAGGACTTGCAGTTGCTGGAGTGTTTTCTGCAGTATCTGATGAGAGATGCTTCTCATTGGGTTCATCTAAAGACGAATCTTCCTTGTTGATAGTTGATACATTTAAAGGTTGCTTAGTTTCTTCTGACTCCAAAATGAGATGTGCTGCGGCGATCCCCTCATCAGCTAAAAAGCAGAATTTATTTTTTGCTAACCTTACGTAAAATCAAATTAAAGCTTTGAATATAGACATACCAACTACTCCGATAACATGGAAACCGGCTGCTATTCCATCAGATCCTGATGAGTTTTTTTGTTTTCCAAGTCCCCTATAAACTCCAATTCCATCTTCAAGTCGCCGTTTCAATAAATTCGTATTATCGACAACTAATGCTCCTGATACTTCTTGTTGTTCCTCGTGTATTAATATCCCCCAGCTTTTTCGAAATTCAGGTATAGCCATTTGTATCGGCGTTAGATTGTCCAATATTGATTCTAATATTAATTGCAAATTAATGAAAGTAATGAAAAATTGTATTGAAACATAAAATCAATAAATGAATGATATTCAATACTTTGTTGTAGAACCTGCTCTCGTTTTTGATGTTGTTTTGGAAAATGATAATCACGCGTAATTTCTTTTAAAGGGGACCTTGGAATCTAAAAAAAATAATACTGAATTTAAAATGCTCATATATCGATAGAATAATTTAACATGAATTATTCCACATAGAATGATTTACCGAATATTGGGAAGCAGCGACTGCCAATGTTTGATTGAGATTTTGAGGTATGCTCAAAGATGCTGTTTGTTCCTATATTGAAAATCGACGCCACATATATTATTTAAAACATCACCAGAAGGCATTAAGGAATTATGATAATATAATAGTTAAAACCTTTGAATGCTCATCAGAGCTCAGGTTATTTGAGTCGTTAGCTACCGATACATTGCTCGCAGTTTTAGCCTTACCACCAATTCCAAGAAACAATGCGCTTGCCAATCTCTCTTTTTCTGTGGGAACCGCAGGCGTTTTCGTAGAAATAGAAGTTGTAGCCAAAGACTATAATAACAAGGTAATTTAATGACAATGGACTATTATAATAACAGATCGAATTTAAAATACCTTGGTAGAAGATCGCAACACGGGGTTTATGGCGAGAATAGATGTTAATTTACTATAATTATGGAAAAGATAAAGAATTTTATAAATATCATTTTCAAAAAAATTGATTGAACTAATGCCGACTAAATACCTTTCCTCTTTGGAATTTTCAATAATAATGTTCGATTCTTTTTCTAAAGAATTATGCGACTTTTTTGGTAATATCTGAATAGTAAAAAGTCATTAATAAAGCTAAATATCAAGAGCTCCACACTTTTAAATTATCAAAATTTACCGGTTCATTATTTTGATATCCAGCTCTACTCCATTTTTGTGGCACATTAGCAGCATTTAAGGGTATTAAATCAGGTGAATCAACATAAGTCTTTGTCTGTAATATTTTGTTAATATCTTGGGCAGATGAGCTTAATGATGTATCAAGTGAAGTGACGAGCCTTGTGGCAGGAGTTAAAATAGATTCATTTGTAGACATCGAAGAATGAGATTGCCTATTACGAGAATAATAATCAGCCTATCAAAATTTAATGACCAATAATTAATGGTAAATAAAAAATCGAACCTTTCTGTAATATTTTCTTCATATTCAGTTAAGGCTGTATCCTTTGAGGGAAGTGTTGATTGACTCTCAGCACTTATCCACGCTAACTGACCAGGGGTGACTCTGATAGATGATCCTAAATTATCGATTCCCCAAGAATCGTCAACTTGTGTAACAGAATTTCCTGTTCTATGGAAATCAGGTAAAGTTGGTTTATCATATGCTTCATATCGAATAGTTAAACGAGCCTTTTTATCTTATCATATAAAAGAATTCAATTAGAAAAAAAT